ACTAGCGACTACCCTCGGCCTCCTCGCCATGGACGCGGACGACTCCCGGGCCCCCAAGGGCTCTTTGCGGAAGTTCCTGGAGCACCTCTCCGGGGCCGGCAAGGCCATCGGCGTGCTGACCAGTGGCGGGGATGCTCAAGGTGCGCGCCCCCCTCCAGGCGGCGAGGTCGGGACGGATGGAGAGAGGGAGAACAGGGCGAAGGGGATGGGGGGATAGGGCAGAAGAGGGGGGGAGCGATGGGAGGACCCGGGGAAAGATGGGGAAGCGATGGGAAGAACCGGGGAGAAGAGCGGGGAAGCGATCGGGAGAACTGGGTCGAAGCCTGTGCCCGGGAGCGGCAGGGCAGGGGTACCTGCGGGGCAGCGTGAACCGTCAAGGCAGCCCCGGGGTCCTTGCCGGGTGGGGCGGAGGAGGAAGGGACATGGCGGTAGGAACCTCCATCCGAAAGAAGTGAGCTTTCCATCCCGTCCGGTTTATGTTTTAAATTGAACCTGGCAGAGGGGTCGCCTGGAGCGCCCTCGGGGGTCGTTCTGCCTCTGAGCTGTAGGACTGGGCCGGGCTTCCCCTCCGAAGCGAGGGTACAGCGCGATCACTTCCTAAGTGGCCCCCCGCCCCCCAACTCCGCCCCACGCCACCACCCAGCATGCCGAGGAAGAAACGGCCGGGTCCCCGCACACCTCCTGTAGCCTCGTGCCCCGCGCGGTGTGGGCGGGGTCCCGGCTGCTGCAATGCAGGACGCGGCGGGGGTGCTCTGGGTTCCCGCCTGGCGTCTCCGAGGCGGTCCGGCAGCCCCTCGCGTTTCCGCTGGAAGATTTACAAAAAGGGTTTCTTGTGCTCGCATGTGCTGTCGCCTTCCGGCTCGTGACAAAACTGAAAACTAAAGTGGGTCTCAGGCCCTCCCCGCCAGCCTCCGCGGACCGGAAGGACCAGGAAGCGGGGACTCCGGGACGTCAGCGGCGCCGCGGCGCGGGCTCTGGGCTTCCCCTGCCCTGCAATGTGGAAGCGGCTCTCCAGGAGGGGCCCGAGCCTGGACCCACGACGCGGGCGCGCCGGGAGGACATTTAACATTGAAGAGCGGGAGGTGATGGAGAGTGCGCTCCCCAGGCCCCGGGTGCACGTAGGGGCGCCTGTGCCCGGGATCGGGAGGGTGAGGCCTTCTCCGTCAGGTAGACTTGTTAAATCTATCTGAAAGTCACAGATAACTAAGTGTCAAGTCGTCACAGATATTTATGTATCCTGAATGAGATGGCTACGGAAAACATGAAAACATCGTTACTGCTTACGTGCATGATGCATCCAAAACATTGTTACCTGCACAGTGGCAGCACTGATATTTGTGGGCTTTTGAACGTGTGGACTGGAGTGTTAAGAGTCCTTCAGAGTCATGACAGTAGTTTGATTTGAATGTTCTTTTCTTGGCGAATAAATGCTGTACATTGAATTTACCCAGGAAACTAGGAAGGTGAACCCACACGAAGGACACAGACCTGTGGGCTGCTCCAGGCACCATTAGGGCGTTGCGGGGCCTGAGCCATGGGCTTCCCGTTCAGCCTCTTGAGAGCCGTGATGGCGTCTCTGTTCTGCCTCACACTGGACCCGCTAGTTTCTTTTTTTTTTTTTTTTTTTTTTTTGTTGAGACAGAGTCTCGCTTTGTCGCCCAGACTGGAGTGCAGTGGCCGGATCTCAGCTCACTGCAAGCTCCGCCTCCCGGGTGCACGCCATTCTCCTGCCTCAGCCTCCCGAGTAGCTGGGACTACAGACGCCCGCCACCTCGCCCGGCTAGTTTTTTGTATTTTTTAGTAGAGACGGGGTTTCACCGTGTTAGCCAGGATGGTCTCGATCTCCTGACCTTGTGATCCGCCCATCTCGGCCTCCTAAAGTGCTGGGATTACAGGCTTGAGCCACCGCGCCCGGCTGGACCCGCTAGTTTCATATTCTTGTTATGGTTCCGAAGCTACAAGCGGTTGGATTCTGCGAGTCGCTCTCTGTCTTCCTCCTCCAGCTGCTTTCAAATGGGTCGTCTCTTTTTTAGAACTTCTTTTTTAAGCAGTGATTGATGGGGTGAGTTGTAGTGCTGTCCTGAACTGCAGAGGGAGCGCACTGAGGAACCTGGATTTTGATGCTGTGCACATCAGCTGAGTCAGCAGCCCAGGGCCCTGTCAGTCCCATTATTAAGCTTATTTCTTGCTCTTCGACGCCTTAAAAAAAAAAGCAAACTCCTGCTTGCTGTCACTGGCTGTTTGGCAAATGGGTGTTTACCCTGGAAAGAGGGACATTTTGTCCTCTGGACCGTCTAAGGCGCCCTTTAGTGACATGGTCCGTTTCTGACCACTCTATTCTGTGGGCGTCCTTCCTGCTTCCACCTTCCCTTTCCAAACGCCTCCGCCTCCAGGGCTTTAATTTTCCTTCTGTGTGTGTGTCACGCAGAGGTTACGACTATTGCGCCAGTGCCCTTATTTTATTTTATTTTTTTCCTGCGGAGGTCCCAGAATTTGCTACATCTCAAAAGAAGCAATTGCATCCATTTGTTCGCGATGATCATAAACAGTGCCCTCTAAGGGAGACTAATTGGTCAACCCGTCTGCTGTGGGTAGAAAGACAGCGGTGGCGCGGAACGAGGGCTCTGCCTCTTCAGAGCCTGCACAACCATCCTGCTTTCTTTCTTCAATATCCAGTAGGGGGTTAATTTGAATAAGCCCTTGAAACCAACAAAGCAGGAAAGTGCAAAGACATTGAGTTGCGAGATTTAAAATGACAACCAGCAGCCTCTCATTCTTCCTTCACTGGGGGTTGCCACTTCGTTTTGGGGCTGCAGGGTATGTTTGGCAGCGACATCGGACCTTTGTGCTGTGCGACTCATGAATTGAGATAGTTCCTTACTAAGTGCTTTGTGCTGTAGGTATGAAAATGGGGAAAGAGGGAGCACTGTCCCGGGTGGAGAGGCGTGGAGAGACGCTGTGATACATAGCAGGTCCTTTTCTTCTGGGCTCCTGGTTATAAATCTTTTTTTTTTTTTCTAATAGCCTGACAGATGGTTTTTGTGTCTTTTTTTTTTTTTTTGAGACGGAGTCTGGCTCTGCCGCCCGGGCTGGAGTGCAGTGGCCAGATCTCAGCTCACTGCAAGCTCCGCCTCCCGGGTTTACGCCATTCTCCTGCCTCAGTCTCCCGAGTAGCTGGGACTACAGGCGCCCGCCACCTCGCCCGGCTATTTTTTTTGTATTTTTTAGTAGAGACGGGGTTTCACTGTGTTAGCCAGGATGGTCTCGATCTCCTGACCTCGTGATCCGCCCATCTCGGCCTCCCAAAGTGCTGGGATTACAGGCTTGAGCCACCGCGCCGGCCCTGGTTTTTGTGTCTTAATTAAAAGATTGAAGACTGTGGGCCAGATCCAAACTAATTCCATTGGCATCAGAGAGAAGGATTCTGTGCATATTTATCTATAGGCATAATTGATTTTTTTTTTGGTCCAATTATCTGGTTAGTCAAATCATACATTACAGAAGTAATATTTAAAATTAAAAAACTAAAAATAAAAAATGTATCTGTAAACCTATCCCCCTTCCATTCCAGTCTTTGTCTCTGTGTAATTTTAGAACCGTGAACCACGATGTACACAGAGTTTATACTCTTTTAATATCTTGCTACTTCATTGTTTTAATGTTTAATCTTTAGGTTGATGTATCACAGGTTGCTTGATCATTTCTTACAGGTGTTTGGTTTAGTTTTTTTTTTTTTTTTTTCCCTTTAACTCTAATGTAAATTTGAGTATTTGGCTGGTAGTTTTAGCAGGATTTAAGGCAGAGCCTCAGTTAGGGCCGCGGATCGATTTATGGTCCCTACTTTGAGGAGGGAAGTGGCAATCTGCCCTTTCTTCTATAATTGATATGTTGAATCACAATGGACATTTACTTGATTTTGAGCACTTGGAACTCCCCTGGGGTTCACTGATATTGCAAGGTCAGGACTGGGGATCTCCTGCTGGAGAGGCCCCCGGCGTGCCCAGGGCAGGGTCCTGAGCGCGTTGCTGCAGGACAGAAGCCCTGGGCTTTGTCCTCCAGCAGCCATCACTCTGGGAAGGACTGGCTGCTCCAGGAATGAGGTCTATGCTCTGAAACCCACAGTCAGCAGACCAGCAAAGGTCAGCACAGACGACCTTCTATGAATCATTCATTTAGCAAGCATTCATGGAATACACACTCCGTGCAGTTGGAACTTAGAGTGGAGGGCCATCAGCTCACTGTTGTCTGAGCAGAGCTTGATCTCTGGCTCCCTGTTGTAGCCTCCGCTCCTAGGAGGTGCACAGTGAGTGTTGGGGAACCCTCCACAGGCACAGTTGCTGAACAAGGACCCCTCCCAAGGGCGTCAGCCCTGGGCCCTGAGCTCTGAAGAGGAGGAAGGCATTCCTAGGGCCGACTTCCCTTCTGGATACTGAGCTCTGCACAGAGAGAAACTCTTCCACATTCACTGCGGTGAAGTTCCTAAAACAAATAACACTTTAGAGACTGGGGCCTGCATTCCCCGGAATTTCATGGCCACAGGTGGTGGCTGTACCGTGCGACTGGAGTCTGCGTTCCCTGGAATTTCTGTGGCTGCAGGTGGTGTCTGCACCATGCAACTGGTGTCCCTGGAATTTCCGTGGCCAAAGGTGGTGACTGTACCATGTGAATGAGGGTCTGTGTTCCCTGGAATTTCCATGGCTATAGATGGTGGCTGTACCATGTGTCTGAGGGTCTGCCTTCCCTGGAATTTCTGTGGCTGCGGATGGTAACTGTACCATGTGACTGAGGGTCTGCATTCCCTGGAATTTCTGTGGTCGCAGATGGTGGCTGTACCATGCAACTGGGGCCTGCATTCCCTGGAATTTCCATGGCCACAGGCGGTGGCTGCACCATGCATCAGGTCCTGTCTCAGGAGTTGGTGTCATTCTCTCTGTTACTCCCTCACCTGACACAGAGCGGCAGTTCCTGACCTTATCACTCCCAGGAAACACACAGGCATCTGTTTTGGATCCTTGTTTTATTTCCCCATTACCTTTGTCATCAAAGGGAAATTCACATCCCTATGAAGCCGAAAATGGTGTGGGGCCCCCTGGTGGTCTTTCCAAGGCATTATCAGCAGGTAAACTAGACCGTATGGGCCAGTGTACCTGAAATGAAAACAGAAAGGTAAGTCGTGTCACTAAGCTTTGCTGGGAGATTCAGGGTCTTTGTCAGTGACAGAGTCATCCAAAGTAAGTTGTTTGTTCACTGCAGATCGACACGGTTAGCTGTGTCGGGATTAAACTTACCCAGTGTCGACAGAGTGTAGCTTAATCCTCACGGAGGGGTGTCAAGTACATTGAAGAATAGCTGCCGAGCCTGCTATTGTCGGGAGAGGGGCAGGTGCCTCTCTCGCTTAGCCCAATGCTGAAGGAGGCCGGGCTCACGTCAGGCCGTGCGTGTGAGCGAGCTGGATGTTTAGCACGCTGGGACGATAGAGCACAAACATCTATTTTTAACTTGTGGGTGACCTTCTTCTGTGCTGCTTGAGTCTCTGTGGACCTTTCTCTGTTTCCTTCCTGAGGAGTCTATGCCAGGGTCCCAGGCGTTCTCTGCGCTGCACCTCGGCGCCTGCCCACTCAGGAGCCTCCTCCTGGTGGCTGTGGGACCGGGCTGGGCCCACACTGTCAGCATCGTCCGGGGTAAGCAAGCCCGTCCCTCCACACCTCAGTGTCCCCAGCTGTTGAACAGGGCTAATCAACTGACCGTCAGGATTAATGGGGATCAGATGCGCTCATCTCATAGCCCTGCTTGGTAAACAGCCACTTCCACTCTGTCCTCCAATGTGCTACTCTAGACTTTTTCTTTACCTCCATTTAGCCAGGTGATTCGAGGTGACAGTGACTATCAAGAGGGACGTACAGAGGAAATCAGTGGAAGAGAGCTCGAGGAGCAGACATGGGTGCAGGGAACACAGTGCGGGGAGCACGGGTGCAGGGAACATAGGCATGGGGAGCACAGATAGGTGTGGGGAGGTGAGGATGGGTGCGGGGAGCACGGGTGTGGGCAGCACGGGTGCCCGGAGCACAGGTGTGGGGAGCACGGGTGCGGGGGGCATGGGAGCAGGGAGCACGGGGACCCGGAGCACAGGATATGGAGAGCATGTGTGTACTTGCTCTGCTCTGACAGATGCTGCTGAGCACGTACTCAGTGATCAGATGGGTCAGAGCCTCAGTGCCTCTTTTTTAGAAAAATTATTTCTTTTTTTAAAGATAGGACTTCCCTCTTCCTGGTGGCCCCTTTTAGTCGATACTCTTTTAAGCCTGCTTTTCCAGAGGAAAGCTAGGAAGGATGGCCTGTATAGGTTCCAGTCTGGGCATATCTGGAAGAATGACCTGTTTTAGGTTTGAGTCTAGTGTATCTGGGGACAACTTTGAACCTCCATTCAGAGTCCCCAGCCACCTGTAGAGGCTCCCCAAATGTCTGCTGGGACTTTCCCCTCTGCTCGGGGATGATGAAGAGCAGAACCTCATCCTGCCACGACCTCTGGGGTCCTCCTTCCTGGAGGGCAGTGCCTTGGTGGCCAGTGTGTGTAGGAGGCTGGGCTGGCACCTTCGGGCTATGCTCTGCAGCGGGGGCTCGTGACATGGGGCATTCTTGTGCTCTGCACCGGGACTGTTGACGTGGGGCATCCTCGTGCACTGTGGACCACAAGCGGTGCACATGAGCCAGACAGCTCCTGGAATTCGGAGCCTGATTCTACCTCAGGCCATCCACCTGTCTGTGGCACTTCTGGGGGATTGTGGGGACCATATGAGTCTGTGTCCCCACCCTCACTGGCTGGACACCTGTGCCAGGCTGGAGCTTTATGTGTCACCATGCCCTGTTCTGAGTTGTGTGAATATTTATTTTCATTACCTACTCTCATAAGCTTTCCTTTTTTAAAAAAAATTCAGAGACAGACTTTGAAGTCCCCTGGCCCCACCCTTTGTGGACCTAATGGTATTGCAGAAATTATGGCTTCAATTATGTGTAATAACTGGGGCTACTTTAAAAGTCATGTAAAGGAACAAGGTGGAGTGGCCATTTCAAGCAGTACATCATTCTGGATTCTTCAGTGAACATTATCAGGCTTTCAACACATTTTCTCTTTTTATTTGCTTTGGAGAATATAATGGGTGCTCGGAAGCTGTTGGAATTTAGTAACAGGAAATCATCCTTAAGGAGCTATTTAAGCAAGGGGACAGTTGGAGTAAATGTAAGTTATGAACACACACTTATTCCAAACCAGAGAAATATAAGCTTCAACTGTACTGGGGTTGAAAGTTGGTTGCTAGTGTGTCTTTCCTGCCCACAGTGACTGTGGCAGTGCTGTGGCCAGGAAATTCTGGAAAGAAGACTTGGTGCCAGTGGTAGTTTTTGTGACGATTCATTTGCTTTCAGCTCAAGTGACTATAGTCTAACTTGCAAATGGCTAGGTCTCCACCAATGGACCACGACATTGACATAGGACAAATGAGAAATGGCCCTTGGGTTTTTAACAATTATTATTTTTAATGGACACATTATGGTACATATCCATGGGATACAGTGTGATATTTCAATACATGTTTATCATGTGTAATTAGCAAATCAGGATAATTAGCATGTCCGTCTTCTCAAACATTTGTCATTTCTTAATGCTGGGAATATTTAAAATCCTCCCTTCTAGCTGCTTGAAAATATACAATAAATTATAAACTACAGTCACCGTACAAGGCTATAGCACGCTAAACCTCATTTTTACTATCTAGATGTAATTTTGTATCCATTAGCCAACCTCTCCCTTTCTGCCTTCCCGCCGCCCTTTCCTGTCTCTAGGTTCCACTGTTCTACCTTCAGAGGGTAGAATATCATTTTCCTCATAGAGATCTTTAACCCTCTTGGTTAGACTTCTTCTGAGGTATTTTTATTTTTATTTTATATTTTTGTAGCTAAATTGGATTGCTTTCTTGATTTCTTTTTCCACTGGCTCATTGTTAGTCTATAGAAATGCTACTGACTTTTATATGTTTATTTTGTATTCTGTAACTTTACTGAATTTGTTTATCGGTTCAAAGAGATTTTTGCTGGAGCCTTTTTTTTTTTTTTAATATATAAGAGCATATAGTCTGCAAACAGACAATTAGAGTTTCTCCTTTCCACTTTGGGTGCCCTTGATTTCTTTCTCTTGCCTAACTGCTCTTGACTAGGACGTTCAGTGCTGTGTTGGATAGGAGTGGCACAAGTGGGCGTCCTTGTCTTGTTACAGGTGTCAGAGAAAAAGCTCTTAGTATTTCCCCATTCACCATTATGTTAGCTGTGGGTTTGTCACATATGGCCTTTATCGTGTTGAGATATGTTTCTTTCAGTGCCTCGTTTGTTGAAACTTTTTATCATGAAGCAGCGTTGAATTTTATCAAATGCTTTTTCTGTATCTGTCGAAATGATATGGTTTTTGTCCTTAATTCTGTTGATGTGATGTAGCGTGTTTATTGATTTGTGTTTGTTGAGCAATCCTTGCATCCTGGGATAAATCCCACTTGATCATGGTGTATAATCTTTTTGATTTACTGTTGGATTCAGTTTGTTAGTATTTTGCTGAGGATTTTTGCATCTGTGTTCATCAGGGGTATTGACCTATAGTTTTCTCTTTTTATTGTGTCCTTGTCTTATTTTGGTATCAGGGTAATGCTTGGCTTGAAGAATGAACTTGACAGAATTCCCTCGTCTTCAATATTTTTGGAATAGTTTGCGAAGAATTGAAATAAAAATTTGTAGAATTCAGCTGTGAAGCCGCCTAGTTCTGGGGTTTTCTTTGTTGGGAGACATTTTATTATTATATAGTCATACGTGTTACTCATTATTGGTCTGTTTAGGATTTCCGTTTCTTCTTGGTTCCATCTAGGTAGGTTGTACATGTCCAGGAATTTATCCATTTCCTCTAGGTTTTCCAATCTGTTGACATAACAGTTGTTAAAAATAGTTTCTAATGATCCCTTGTATTTCTGTGGTATCAAATGTAATTCTCCTTTTTGGTTTCTAATTTTATTTATTTGGGATTTCTTTTTCTTTCTTAGTGTAGCGAATGGCTTGTCTATTTTATTTATCTTTTCAAAAAACCAACACTCTTTTCTTCATCTTTTATATTTGTTAGTTTCCATATTATTTACTTCCTCTTTGATCTTTGTTATTTCTTTTCTGCTACCACTTCTGGATTTGATTTGTTCTTGCTCTTCTAGCTCATTGCAGTTCATTGTTAGGTTGTTTATTTTAAATCTGTTTTTTAAATGTAGGAGTTTATTGTTCTAAACTTTCCTCTTAATACTGCTTTTGCTGTATGCCATAGGCTTTGATATGTCGTGTTTCTGTTTTCAATTATTTCAAGAAATTTTTAAATTTCCTTCTTAATTTCTTCATTGACCCATTGGCTATTCAAGGGCATATTGTTTAATTTCTATGTATTTATACAGTTTTGAAAGTTCTCCTTGTTGTTGATTTGTTTTTTGTTTGATTGTTTATTAAACTTTATGTTCCAGGGTACATGTCCACAATGTGCAGGTTTGTTACATATGTATATATGTGCCAAGCTGGTGTGCTGCCCCCATTAACTTGTCATTTAAATTAGGTATATCTCGTAATGCTATCCTTCCCCCTCCCCTCACCCCACAACAGGCCCCGGTGTGTGATGTTCCCCTTCCTGTGTCCAAGTGATCTCACTGTTCATTTCCCACCTATGAGTGAGAACATGCGGTGTTTGGTTTTCTGTCCTCGCGATAGTTTGCTGAGAATGATGGTTTCCAGCTGCATCCGTGTCCCTACAAAGGACATGAACTCATCCTTTTTTATGGCTGCATAGTATGCCATGGTGTAAATGTGCCACATTCTCTTAATCCAGTCTGTCATTGATGGACATTTGGGTTGCTTCCAAGTCTTTGCTATTGTGAATAGTGCCGCAATAAACATACGTGTGCATGTGTCTTTATGGAAGCATGATTTATAATCCTTTGGGTATATACCCAGTAATGGGATTGCTGGGTCAAATGGTATTTCCAGTTCTAGATCCTTGAGGAATCGCCACACTGTTTTCCACAATGATTGAACTAGTTCACAGTCCCACCAACAGTGTAAAAGTGTTCCTATTTCTCCACATCCTCTCCAGCACCTGTTGTTTCCTGACTTTTCTTTCTTTCTTTCTTTCTTTCTTTCTTTCTTTCTTTCTTTCTTTCTTTCTTTCTTTCTTTCTTTCTTTCTTTCTTTCTTTCTTTCTTTCTTATTCTTATTATACTTTAAGTTCTAGGGTACATGTGCATAAAGTGCAGGTTTGTTACATATGTATACTTGTGCCATGTTGCTGTGCTGCACCCATCAACTCGTCAGCACCCATCAACTCGTCATTTACATCAGGTATAACTCCCAGTGCAATCCCTCCCCTCTCCCCGCTCCCCATGATAGGCCCTGGTGTGTGATATTCCCTTTCCCGAGACCAAGTGATCTCATTGTTCAGTTCCCACCTATGAGTGAGAACATGCAGTGTTTGGTTTTCTGTTCTTGTGATAGTTTGCTAAGAATGATGGTTTCCAGCTGCATCCGTGTCCCTACAAAGGACACAAAACTCATCCTTTTGATGGCTGCATAGTATTCCATGGTGTATATGTGCCACATTTTCTTAATCCAGTCTGTCACTGATGGACATTTGGGTTGATTCCAAGT